TTGTGGTAAATTGCTGTAAAATGTATTTTTAAGTCAATGTAAATTAATTCTCAAATATGTACAATAACCAATGTGTACATGGATGGATTAAGTAGAAATACCTAAAAGAAAAGCTTTTGTGTCTATGTATTAAAGAGTAGTAATAAAAGTGTTTCTTTAATAAAGAAAACAATATAAAATTTGAATATCAATTTTGTATTAGACAATAATATCTCATCATTTTACATTTCTTTAACTTTATAAGCATACTATGACTATTTATAATAATGTGTTCTATGAGGATATATGCTGAAATACTTAGAGGTGAAGGATCATTAGACCTGCAACTTCTTCTGAAATTATTAAGTCAGTAAGTACCTAAGTAAGCTGTGCGGCTGCACATGGAGGGGCCAGCTTTGAAATGCAGCCGGTTTTAGCGGTTTGCCCTGTCCCCAGGGGTGCAGATTAAAGCTGGTGCCTGCAGGTTTCTAGAGGGCTGAGGAAGTCCTGGAAGTGAAACCCTCCCAGCTCAGCACAGAGGTCGGGGTAGCTAAAGAGGAAGCCTTAGAAACTGCAAATTATAAGAAGAGAATGTCTCACAAATAAGCCAAGACCTGCTGGTACAGTTGAGTCAGTATGCAGCTGGGAGTAGATGGCAGATACGGGAATGTTTTGGAGGAGTGGAAGTGAAGCAGTTTTTATTGGTGCAGAGGAAAATTTTATGGTTGAGTGGTAGACCTTGCTACTGCCTGCATTCAGCACCTTCAGTTTATACCACAACTCCTATGGGGGAGGCACACCCAAAGGCTTTGGGGAGCTTCACTCCTGAAAATATTCTTTCCGATATTTTTATTGTCGTGACTACACAGAGCTGGTAGCACAAGTTTATCTCCTTCCACACTTCCTTTCAGAACACTCAAAGGTCCGATTAGCGGTAGTGGGTGGTGTTGATTTTCCTTTTCATCAGATCCCGATGGCCTATCCCTTTATACTCAATTACTAACTGGCCTACCGCAGCAAATGATCAGCCTTGCAGATAATCACAGATTAGCTGTAATTTTAACCAATCAGATGACAATAAAGATTGATAGAATTTAGGCTTTAAAAAAAAGAGAAATTATGCTTTGCTGATACCAGCATTGGGAGAAAGTTGGGGTCAAACTGGTGCAATACAGTTAACTTTTAATGGGATCAAAAGCCAAGGTTGGCAACGTTGTACAAATACCAAGCCAGAAGGAACCTCCAGGACTGTTTTTTCCTTATTTATTTATTTTTTAATTTTTTTAATCACCATTTATTCCCTCTTTTACTCTCCTCTTCCTCTACTCCCCTCAACCTCTCCCTCCAGCAATCACCACACTGTTATTCAATCACACCTCAGGGATTTAGAAATGCTGTTGTTCCTACTTCATGTTCATTTCAAATACAATGTTCACGGAATTCCCAGAAATGGTCACAAGAATCAGAAGAAGAACAGGAAACCAAAGACCAGTCTGTGAGATGCAATGTATACAAATAGTAGGAAGACTTCTTACTTTAAAATATAAACACACACTAAGGCATTAATGAATCAGGAATATATTAAGTGAAATATAGTTAATACATATGATTCTCTGAAAGAGTTTTCTACAACTATATTTGTTCCATGTTTTCAATTTTAGTAACATTCAGTAGGGATGATATGGGTTGTGTTTTGCGACTGTGGAAAGCTGATCTCATGTGGCCAATCTCAATTTAAAATTCAGGCTGTTCTTTCCTCCTTTCTTTGCTAATTGCCTAGAAAATCCTAGAAAGAAAAGGTTATTTTTTACATTCCTTTTGTGTTCTCTTCCTTAAATGTAGCTTTGATAATTCTTAAAATGGCCCATTTTATTATTATAAAAGGGTCAGCATATCATTACATTCAATTTTATGGGTAAGATAAACATTTTAGATAACCAATCTGATTTTAGTTACCTCAATCCTAAAATCTAAGCCATTTGTTTATTTTTTATTACTTTTATAATTTTAAAGAGAGGACTTTGGAACTGCTATTTCATTTAGAATTTACCCGGAACATATATCTTCCAGAACAGCCAAGTCAATAAGTTACAGCTATTTCTGCATTTGTGATTCATTCTAGAATTCTAGATATATCGACATTTTCCTTTGAATAATCTTAACACCGCTTGAATTAATTAAACATTTGGATTCCGTCTGGCCAGCATAGCTTGGTGATTGAGCATTGACCTGTGAACCAGGAGGTCACAGTTTGATTCCCAGTCAGGGCACATGCCTGGGGTTGCGGGCTCCATTCCCAGTGTGGGGCGTGCAGGAGGCAGCTGATCAATGATTTTCTCTCATCATTGATGTTTCTATCTCTCTCTCCCTCTTCCTTCTTCCCTGAAATCAATAAAAATATACTTTAAAAATTCAGATTTAGGGGTTTCAAAATATAATGAAATAAATAAGCAATATATATATATATATATATGTGCATATTGTACCTCTATTAACAGAAAGTGAAAGAGAGGGAAAGTGTATGTAGTGAGTTTACAGTTAGTACTTCTAAAGCAGAGCATCTGGAAATTTATTGGACTCTGCAATTTTATCTAGGCTTCATTTTTTTCAAAATAAAAAGTGAAAGATAAATATGTGAATTCCCATCAGATAATACAATAAATGGTATTCATCCTAAATAGCAAATTTTTGATTGGTTTACATTTTTAAACACACTCAAAACTCAATTAGGTTTAACTTTTGAAAGTAGAATTATATCTTTAATAATCTTATAATTTAGCATTCTCACATACTGAAGATCTTTTCCCTTTTTACTTACATAAAATCACAGAGGACTAAACTATCTGAAAGGATACTGGAAAAGATTGAAAATAATTTCTTAGTAAGAATTTTATACCCATCCAAGTTATAGATTAAAGATGATGTTAAAATAAAAAAAATGTTTGCCAGCATATAAAGTTTCAAAATATTTATTTGCTATTTACCCATTCAGGAGGCTAACAGAAGGCATAATCCATCACTGAAAAAGAATAACACATAAACATAAAAGAGAAGGAATGAGTGAGACCAAGAATCAAGAAATTCAAAAGAGAGGAGAGATAAAGAAAATTCCCAATATGATATTAAAAGGAAAACCTAGGATTCCTAGGAATACTGGTGTGTAGTCATTTAAGAAAGGAGAATTGGAATAAGACCATCCAAGAGAAATGACTCAAAAAAGTAAGTTGGAATGATAGATTATTTCATATGTTTGAGGACATTGAATGAGTTTTCGCTGTTGTCTGAGATATTACAGTATGTAAATAAGAAATTTCTAAATGAATATCAGTGTTTGTTATTCTAAATTAAACACAAAGAATTAATATATAATCACATTTTTTTCTCAGTATGTTATTAATTACAGTATGCTATTAATATCTGAGAGCATTATTTAATTATAACATAATCAGCGGAGAAGGAGATTTTAAAAAATTATTATATAACTCTTGAGAGAATAAGAAGAGGAGAATTTTTGAATGTTGAAAGATTTTTTTGAGTTTTAGGCCCTTATTTATTTTATTTTATTTTATTTTTTTTAATATATTTTTTATTGATTTTTTACAGAGAGGAAGGGAGAGAGATAGAGAGTTAGAAACATCGATGAGAGAGAAACATCGATCAGCTGCCTCCTGCACATCTCCTACTGGGGATATGCCCGCAACCCAGGTACATGCCCTTGACCGGAATCGAACCTGGGACCTCTCAGTCCGCAGGCCGACGCTCTATCCACTGAGCCAAACCGGTTTCGGCTAGGCCCTTATTTATTATAGAAAATTAAAAAATTAAAAGTGTTAGTATTAATGTATTATATAGAAATATAGAGATAATAATAGATTAAATAGTGAAATGCATTAAGGAATGGAATTTACAAGTGGGGAATAGCGGGATAAGAGGTACTATTTTTTATTAAAAATTGAAAGTATTATTTTATCTTTTAGGAACATGTACATCTATCATTTGGAAAAACACTAAAAATTAAAATTAAATACAATAATCACAAAAAAATTATAACAAAAATAAATATTTAAAACAATGGATTTATTATTTACAAAGTCCAGAACAAGGAGGTTTGCATTATCTCATCTAAAAACCCAAGCAATCATATTATCTACATATTATTATTGTTTGATTGATTGATTGATTTTAGATGTAGATGAAGGGAAAGGGAGAGAGAGAAACACCAGTTCAGAGAGAAATATCAATCTGTTGCTCCCGGAACCTGCCTAGAACTGGGGATCAAATCTGCAACCTGGGTGTGTGCCTTGACTGGGAATCAAACCTATGACTCCTCTGTGCATGAAATGACACTTCAGCCAACTGAGTCACACCAGCCAGGGCATATTAGCAACATATTATTTATGACAAAAGAGAGCCTTGAAAATTCAAGATCACACAATATTACTGAAAAGTCATAGCTGTCAGATTTCTAAACCAACTCTTTGAATAAGTACAAATGCTACTTGTCCATCTCATTAATTCACCTAATAAATATGTACTTGAAATATCAGGAGGAACATTTTGTAAAGTATGTGATTGTCTAACCACTATGCTGTATACCTCAAACTAATACAAAATAATATTGAATGTAAACCATAATTTAAAAAAATAGATAAATATGTACTTGGATACTTACTGTGTTCTAAGCACTGAGTTGAGCATAGGATATATATGAGTTCTTAGCTAAGAGGGGAGTTAAAGGAATTATTACATTATGTAATTACAACTGTGATAGGTACTAAGAAGAAAGTACCACATCCCCGCACCTAGGAATCTTGTTGTTGTTGAACCCTTTGCCTCGTGTTCCAGAGAATCTCCTGACAGGAGATGTAGGATGCAACAGGACCCTTATTAATCATCATAAATGTGTTAGCTAAAAATGTGGGAGAGTTACAGGCAAAACCTTTGACCAATATGAGATGGGTATGGATGAATAAATGCATTACTCTTTCTTTTCTGTAAAGCAGTCCGGAGACCCAATAAGCATGGTTGCCCAAAGGTCTCATGAGATAGACAAGTAAGACTATTTAGCAATATCCTGCTTAGTAATGAATTCTTATAGTGTCTCTTACGGACCTAGAACAAAAGGTTTATAAAGAATTAATTTTTAGCAATATCTGGAGGAAGAGAATTCAGCAAAGGAATCAACATCAGCGCCAGGTAGAGAACCAGGTGATAATAGCACCTAGAAAGGAATCTAAGAGAAAGTTAAGGAAGTGAATTTCTCACCTGGATAAACCACAAATGATGAAAAAGAGAAGAGTTAGATGGAAACAGGATTAAGGAAGAGTTTATAGAAAAGAGGGGAAATTTAAATAGGTTCATTCAGTAAAGGCAGGAACATAGTAGAGAGAGGAAAATGATTGTTGAGGTGTTAGAGGAAAGCTAGAGGGTGACTTTTCTTAGAGGTTGATTAGCTTCAGGAAGGAGGACACTCTTCATTGTCTGAGACAGGAAGGAAGGCAATGCTAAGAAGCCGGAGATCAACATGGAGAACTGTTAGAAGAGCTCAGGCTTGGTAGACTTTTCACTTTTCCTTGCCAAGTGGTAGACAAGTAGTGGTGCTGGTGGAAGGCTAGAGGCCTTGAGAAGTGTGGGGAAGGTAGCAGGTCTGGTTTTGAGCAGTGAGGATAGGAGTGAACATTTGAATGATGGCTAGAGGGTAATTACCTGGTAAGGACCATGCATTTTCTGCAGCAGCATGCAGCCATAGGGCCTAGAAGGCCGGATTGAATCCAAGGTTGAGAGGTTTTCAGGGTCAGTGAGCAAAGGAGTTAAAGATGCTGGTAAAAAAGTAGTTAAAATGTGTCATCAGTGGGAATAGTGTTGCAGTGAAAATAAATTAAGAGAATATTTATGGTTATCTTTCCTTTGTTGAAAGAAGCAATTTAGGTCTGTTTTGAATGCAGATGTAATTGACATTGTTTGATGTGATGCCTAGAGTTATAGGTAATCATAGAATATAGACAATATGGAGAAAATCATAACCATTCCTTTCTTTATAATATATGTCTTTTTCTATAAAATTATTTTAAAGCAAGCTGTAATAAGAACCATCTAGGAAATTTTCTACTATTAAAAATATACTTCACCCTGGCCTGTGTCGCTCAGTGGTTAGAATGTTGGCCCATGCACCAAAGGGTTGTAGGTTTGATACCCAGTCAAGGGCATGTACCTAGGTTTCAGGTTCAATCCCTGGCAATGCCTCTCTCTCTCTCTCTCTCTCTCTCTCTCTCTCTCTCTCTCTCTCTCTCTCTTCCTATCTCTCCCTCCCTTCCTCCCTTTCACTCTTTCTAAAAATCAATGGAAAAATTACCCTCGGTGAGGATTAACAAAAAATACACACACACACACACACACACACACACACACACACACACATGTATATATTTATAAATATATGTGTGTGTTTTTTCATCTAATTTTATATATGTAAATAAATAAATTTTTTCTTGCAGTCTCTTTGATTATAATGAGAATGTGTGCATGTGTGTGTGAGCTTGAATGCACACATATCCATGTGCAGATATTATAACTTTGATGTGAAGACCAGTTATGACTTATTAATGCATCACAGGTTCCTAGCCTGCTGGATTGGGGAAAGGCAAGCTGCGGCTATAAGATGTCCCTGTGACACCAGACGGAGGTCTGGTTACATCTGTGCCAGTAGCTGAGGCAAGAGGAGCTGCTCACTCCAAATGCTCCAAAGCTGGAATCTTGTTTGTAGTATCAGCCGATGCTTCTGGACTCTAATCTTTAAGATTGGATTCTAGAAAGTTATCTCTTCAGTTTCGTAGACCATTTAATAAGTTGCTGTGGTGAACATCAACGACAATCTTCTTATCATTGGAAATAATGCAGAATTATTTATTCTTTGGTAATTTGTTTTGAGTTAAATTTTCTTTTCTATTAAAATGTATATAATAAAAAGAGGAGGTCTTATAAATGACTTTTATTATATACATCATAGAGAAACATGTTTGTTTTAATCTTTTTGAAGTAATGAAAATAATTTCAGTAAAATCTCTTTAAAATGTAAGTGATTAAAAAGCAGGAGAAAAATGATAGGATAAAAGGTATCAGTTCTTTTAAAATACAAAGAATTATTAAAACCTGTCGCTTGTTCTTCTAACTTATAGGTTCTTTGTAGTAAAACAGCTTAGGTTTTATGAGATTGAATTTTAAGAGCAATAGTTAAAATAATACCCACAAACTTACAGTAAAGAAAGAAAACAAACCAGTTTTCTTCTTAATTCATTTCTATACATTTCATCTTCAAAATAATTTCTGCTTTGCATTTGAGATAGCAAAGACATTACAAAAAGTTATTTGACTCCCATATATGTAAAGTTTCTATCAGTAAATTATTAGATCAGGAAGATCAGAAAAAATATTTTTAATGCTCATATGACCTGATTTCTTTTGTTCAGAAAAACAAAATCAAAACAGAGCAGGAAGAATCCTTGACCTAATTTCAGCTCTGGTTTACAGTCTCAGCTGTCCCACTAACTGTAGACTTGAATAAATGATATAATATGTTCAGACCTCAGTTACCTCATCTGAAAGATTGACATGGTTTAATAACTGCTATGATATTATTGGACAGTGTTCATGACTTTTTAATATGCTTAGACAAGATTTATTTGAGATCTAAGAAATGCTTATGATAATGACTTCCCCAGAGTACAACTGGGCACTCCTGGCAGCTTGGTGGCCAGTGCATTACTGTCACTTTTCCAACACAGATGAGATTACAGGAACGGCATGCTGGCCCTAAAATGTGGGCCAATATTTGACAGAGTACGCACATACCCAGGATCCTTCAAAACACCATTGAAACCCAGGTCTCCTTGAACCTTTGTTCACTTGTCCACTTCTTCTGGCTGTAATTGAGGTGAAAGGGAGGCCAAGGTCAGGGGGAAATTCAATTTACTTTTCATATTATTTCTTCTTCCCTAGAAAACAATCCCTTACAGCAGTTTTCTAGCAGCAAACTCACATTCAGCACATGGGCCAGTATCTAGAGCTAATTCAAGCCTGGCATCTATAGAAACACACATCTCGGTATCTTCAGAGAGAAAAAATGCCTATGTCAGAGTTGTTACAGAGTTGTGTCCCAAAATGACTTTCTTAGAAATATAGATTTTAGAATTAGAAAACAACTACCTAAGGTCACTCGTTCTAACTCTTTGGTTCATAGGTGGAGAGGCTGAGAGCCAAAACTGCTAAATGGCTAACCCCTTGCCTATGATTAGCCACATGGTTTGTGAGAGAGAAAAATTCCTTAAAGGCCAGGTCTTGACTTAACTTTATTTTTCTTTCTTTTCTACTTCATTTCCCCAAACTGAAGAGTTGAAAAAAATCACAGGAAATTACCTAAAATGAACCCTAATGCTTAAGCAACCCTTTCTCTTACAAATACATTAGATCATCCAATCAGTATTTAAACTTTTCTAATTCTCCCTTTTATCCTTTCTGTGGCTCCTTACACCAGATGCCATTTTATATTTTTCTGACATTATTCTTGACTCTGATTAAGCTTCCATGTGATGTTGAAGCTATGACAAGTTTGTGTCTTCGGAGAGGTAGGGAAATGTAATGCTGGCAGGCATAGAGAATAATGCACAAGGAAAAATATAAAGATAATTTATAGGTTGTATCCCTAAATTATTCAGGTATAAAAAATTTTTAAAGTAAAGACTGTTATTAGTAAAATCATTGAAAACTTTATAATCTCGTGTCTACTATAGTGCAATGTGATAAATAAGCACAGTTAAACCTTTTACCAGTATGTAGATTAGGGATGACTCATTCAAACCCACTCATTCCAGTTTGTCACTAAGTCTAAGCCAAGAGGGGTGAGTTGCCCTCCAGCCTTCTCTGCTGTAAATCAGCTTTATATCCAAGGCACCCCTGCGCCATAGCAGCTTCACTTATTTTCTGTCTTGAACAATATTGATAGTTATCAACTAACCAGGAAAGAAGAGAAGGCACGGGGAGTGATAAAGAGAGGAAGCTCCATATGGTAGAAGAAAGATACCCCAGTAATGCAACCGTGCCCAAAGAAGTCATTAAATGTAGAGAATTCACATCAGTAGAGGACAGATAACGTTAAACTTCTTGGAATGGTGCAACTCTAGTTTGTGGTAGGGGCGTGGGTCTGAGTTAATAGGCTTTATCAGACATATGGAACAACATGACATTAGAAGACATGTACAATTCCAAAATATGCCTGACTAATACTGTACTGCACAGTGTATTTACACATAAAACATATGTTATACACTAGTATAATATGTATATAATATATTAAATCTATGTAATTGCAGGAAAATCATCACAAAATATAGATGATAGCAAAATAGCAAAATTTATTTCTGAAATGGATGTAGTTTTGAGAAGAGGTACTATCGGTTTGCTTTAGCTCTCTGATCTGTATGTTAAGTGGTGTCTGGAAGAGAGATGAGAAAGAAGATGTTAGCTTTGCTAACCTAGTGAAAGAATCGTTAACTGTCCCTAGATAGAGACATGCTTTTGATTGTGATAATTAAGTTAGACTGTAAGAGTAGATAAAGAGAATACCAACAGGGAAGGTGCTTTGTCACTAGTCAAATGCAAGTAGAATCTTGCATTTGATTTTAATAAAGAGAATGGAATGCAATGGAAATCCTGTCAAAATTGTATGACGATGTAAAACCCTATTACATGTACAAGAAAAAGTAATGTTTATCAGAAAAAAAACCATCAAATACAAAGAGACTTTCAAGATGTCTTCAGATATTTGAAAGTTGGACATGGGAAGGCATTTAAACTTCTTAAATATAACCTCAAAGTATAGAAGCAAGATATCAAAGATACAGGGAAAGTGTTTGAGGCCCATCATGGGGAAGATGATTTTTAGACCTTTTTGATCAACTAAAAGTGGAATCAGTTACTCTGGGAAGTTGTAAATGTACTGTTATTCAAGAACCAGTTGGGTAACTACTTGGTGGGAACATGTTAGAAAGAATTCAAGCA